ATACACATTGCTACAGCAACGTAGGTTATAACTTTGACAGAGATTACTATAGTCCTAATATTTCTCAGAGTCACCTCTAACAACTAGGAAACATTCCTTAATGTTAGCATTGATCAGCTAGAACGGCTTTATACTAATATGTTTAAGGCTCAGCTATTTCCATATATACAGCCAACTGTAATTCTGAGATCATGAAATAGCTTACAGCAAAACATCTGCAAGTCTTTGACAAACTAGCACATCCTGGCTCCTCCAGGGATTTTCCTGGCAGGAGCTAAGAATGCCCTTTTTGGGTCCCAGTCCATTAACAAGACTCTGGAAAACCATTGTTCTCTACCACAGCTATTTGTCTTGTAGCACCACAACGGTTTTACTCATTTACACAGCAAGACACTTTTCCCTTTATCTACCCTACAAGTTTTCCTGAGCCTAAATGTCCTCCCTCACAGAGATCTATTTGGGGGGAGAGGAGGTAGAGAGAAGAGGGAGGGGGCAGATAACCCAATTGTGCTGGATGCCATCTGTACTAATGGGGTGTAACACTTCTGTCAATGCTTTCTACAAAATCTATAATGAGGATAGTGCCTCAGCTAAACGTCCCAGCTGGAGATCTGTTCTTAGTCAGGTAAGCAGCACAGGCCATTAGTGGCAGTGATAGTTATGCTCTTACAAGATTTGAGGTTTTACCCTCTCCCCCTTGAAAACACATGCCAAGGAAAGACTGGGAGACCAGCAGGTTCAAAAGGTATTCCCAGAAGCTAATGTGATAAACAGGGCAAGAGAAGAATAGCAGGCAATGAAGGCTGCAGAAGAATGGATGCAAAGGAGAATGAAAGAAGGAGATTTTATATTTGTGTAGGTGGTGCTCAGATGTTCTCAGATGTTAACAGGGTAAGGAGGAAAGGGACACCAAAGCTGTCTGGCTGGAAGTCAAACTTAGAGTGTCTGTATCAGTGCATTAAAAATAAAAGGAAGTTTTCAGGGTTTCAGATGGTAGAAAATGGCTGAAAAGGAAGCATCAGCTCATGTCCTTTCACAAAAGCTGGTCTGATGAGTTTTAGCATAAGCTTAGTAAACTGGTAAAACCTGCTGTACAACACGACACACAAGGCTTGTGCCTACGCTGTGAATCCAAGTCTGTTCTTTTCTCTGGCACCATTCTGTTTCAAAGCCAATATGTTCAGACACAAAACTGATGAAGCTTGAAATGATAGGACCTCTGTAGCTTAGCCTGTTACTATTTATTGGCAACTGAATCATTCCAGTTAAGTATGAAGCAAAAAGGGGTAGCAACAAATAAAAGGAAGAAAAATGGCATCCAGGCTGGGGAAGGAGGAGAACGTGGGAAGGGTGGGAAACCCTCCTCTACAGGAGGCTATCACACAAGTAGGCTTTATTTTTGTAACAGGAGGCATACAATGCATGTTTTAATACTGGACTTATTAAGCTGAATCAAAGTTTACCTTTAAAATAACTCCACTTCAATACTACACAAGTTATTGTTTGCCAGACACATACCAGTTTTTATTCCATTTGTGTGCAAACTCCACAAGCAGGATAAGCTGTATGACTATAAAAAGGAATCCTCCCGCTGCTCCTACATAGCGCCATGCTGCAAAGCAGAAGGTCGAGAAGCAGACAAATGTCAGTTCCCACATCATGCTTGAGTGCTTGGACAGAACAATCTATGACGTGAAGCCCTTAGACTGCCCAAATATCTTTAATAACTCTGTAGAGTCTACACAGAAAATGCAAAAAAAGAACCCAGAATAACACTGTGGCTTTAAATACAACTCAGAGTTGACTGAGGCATGGGGTTGGTACAGCTCACCACACTTTCTAAATAAGCTTTTAGAACACCCAAAGCTACCGACCCAAAGCATTTTTGTGGGGAGATGGTTACTATATTTAGTGAGAAACTACTGAAATCCTTGTATGTGGTGCAAAAAACCCTGGAGTCAATTTACTGAAATCCTAAACCTTAAATTTTCAGGGAACTCCAGGCTGAAAATAGCTTGTTAAAATTCAATTCCAAATACTAGCTATATAAAAATAAGATAAAACTCATTTATGTACACTTGTAATACTACACTGGTCCAAGACACTCCCAAAGACAACCAAAATCTTTACAGTCATTTTATGACTGGTTTAAGCAAAACTGATCTGTCACATATGTGTTCAAGATAATCACTGCTCACCACAACAGCCATACCTTGATATTAGCTAGAATACCTTGTAAAAGAAGCAACAGCCCACAACCAGCCCAGACTCTTGATTTCTGTGCAAACCTCAGAGGCTTCAGAAGAAGTTTGAGCAGAGTCAGGCAAAATGGGCATCTTTACATACGCTCTGCGGTAAGGGAGGGTCACAGTTTAATTAGACCAGCTCTTGGGAGCCGCTCTAAATTAAAGCACCTACAGCATCTCGTGCATTCAGCATCCTGAGCTTCAAAATGGCAGCAGGGGCACTTTAACTAAAGCTTGTTCAAGTGCCCCTGCTGCCATTTTTAAATGAGGGGATGCTAAATATACATAATGCTGCGGCTGCTGGAGCATGCTAATTAGCACACTGCAGCAGGTTTAATTAATCTAAAGCATGCGTCAGAGCAGGCATTAGGCCTACATCAAGTATACTGATACAGGTGTGTTGTCAGATATTTTTCACTGAGAAGTTTGATCCTTAGCCCATCCATGAATTGCTGATCAATTATCCTCACTAAAAACTTATAACCAACAAGAGCGTTAGCAAATTTTAGCTGTGCCCAAATGTTGTATTTTATTATGACAACCAATTTTTACTTATAAAAATGAAGCAATTGCTGGTGTTTATATAGAGGACATTATATTTTATTCTTGGCACAGAAAAGGCTAGATTTTGGGCTAGTATGCACGCATGTAAATCTATGACTAAGGCCAAGCAAAAAGTGCCCACATCAACAGACTGACCAGGCAGGAAGCAGTAGCAATATGTATTTTTAAATAGGAAAACAGATGGGAAGGTGTGACAGGAACTTCCTGGGGAGATGGGGCAGGGGGAGAGAGGGTGGGAGACCTCAGTCAAAACAGCTAACATGTGCCTGTGTTCACACACATCCCCAAAATTAATTGAGAGAGAGAGAGAGAGAGCGCGTGCGTGTGTGTGGGGGAACCTGTTTTGTGCAGAAACCAAGACCTATGCTGGAGAAGTTCCTTTTCCTGTTGAGCATAATTTATTAATGGTAAAGTTGCAGTTTTTGCAACACTTATGTAACTGGAGGAAAGTAGTTCCTATATTAAAGAGTGGTTCTCAGATTTAGGGCCGTTGTACACATGACAAAATTGCCCCTTTTAGTGATTTAATTGCTTCACAGTGTACACATCCAGCAGCGTATTTCGATTTAACTGCCTTTTGTACATAGCAAAGTAAAACACATCCCATGTATTTTAGTTTCCTACATAACAATTTACAGTGATACATCTGGAGATGACGCAGGGACAGTGCACAGAGCACTGGAAGCCCAGGTGTGCTCAGGGAAGCTTGGGCTTGGCAGGTTTCCAGCGCCCCATGCACCATCCCTGCTGCCTTCTCCAGCTGCCAGCACACCCAGCCACCCTCCTGCAGCCTTTGCCACACTGCCCCAGGGGCAAGTCAGGCTGCTTCTAGATGGTCCCAGGCAGCAGAAAAGTGGTGGGGATGGTGCACAGGGCACTCCAAGCCTGCCAAGCCCAAGCTTCCCTGAGCATGCCCCATCTTCTAGAGCCCTGTGCACTCTTGGATCAGGATGGGTGTGCCTGCAAGCTGGGGCAGCACCCTCACAGCTAGTACCCTGCCTGGGCGGCCCCACTGAGGAGGAAAGCACTAGGGCCTCCCACCACAACTCAGGGGCCATGCAACCCAGTGGCAGCTTGCACAAACAGGCTGCGCCAAGAAAAGAAAAAAAAAGCGACAAGGGGCCCATTCCCCCACCCCAGTGGAACCTGTGCACGTCCCCCGCAGCCAAGGAGTGAGCTGCCAGCGGGCCAAGCAGCCTCTGAGCTGCGTGGGGGCCCCAGTACTTCCCTCCATGGTGGCAGCGCCCCCTGGGACTAACCAGATGGGCTGCTAGTGGGCGGGTACTGCCCAGGGGTGCCGCAGCTTCGGAGGGAAGCACTGGGGCCCCCTGCAGGTCTCCAGCAGCTTGCCCCCCAGCTACAGGGGGGGGAAAAAAGGATAAGGCCCCTCTCTGCTTTTTGTTGTTTTCTTTCCTTTGGTGAAGCCTGCCTGCCCGGGGGGGGGG